AGTGCTTCAGCCTACTAGATCAGAGCTCTGCGGTGTCCCTGGAAACATACCTCTATAGCAGACAACTCCAACTGGGGGCGGTGAAAATATCAATATGCGCTTGCGCAGCAGGGCAAACTTCCAGAGGACAAGGATCTGCTCACCAAAGAATTTGATGAACTGAGACATACAGCCAGCAGGGTGTGTGATCTGCAGGTGGAAGGAAAGGGAAGAAAACAGCTCAGAGGTGACACAGGGACACATGCACAGATGCTAAGTCTAAATGTGGGAGCAAGACCAGCACGCAGCAGTGACAGAGAACTGCAGCTTGTAACAGCCCAAGTAACAAAATCCTACCTAAAGCAGCCTACAAAGCACTGGAGTGACTGCTTATATAAAGAAGTATGAGACACCAGCGAGGAGCAGCAGCACACTGCACATTCCTGCAAGCCTCAGAGCACCTGTCTCACCTTCATCTCTGGGTACATGTATCTGTGGATGGATGGCAGCCAGTGGACAGGTTGCTGAGAGGTGGGGGTGCCCTTGCTATCAGGGAGAACTCCTTTCTTGTCGTCATAGAACGCCTCTAGATGGGAGTAGTGCCCTGGCATCTCCAGCTGGTGTCTGGAAAAGAAAGGAAAAAATGGGAGATCTGTAGTGTCTCCAGACTTATTTAGTGCCTTACCCACAGCCAGCATCTGCTTTGCCAGCTAGCAAAGGAGCCCTGGGTGCCTCAGTTGCACAGACTTATCCAGGAGGGCAGCTGAAGCGTCAGGAGTAACACCAGCTTTCAGTGCAGCCAGAGAGCATGGGCAGGACTGAAGCAGACAGCGAGCTGATGTACGCATAGGACTGATCCTGTTTTAAATATGCTCAGGTAGGAACAGCTTTCCCTTCTACCATCACCATTTTCCCTGCTAGGTCCACTCAACACAGCTGAAGCCCACACCTAGCCAGGATTACCATCGTAGGTTTAGAAGCCTTTTGTGAGCCCTTAGTAAAGTGGTTTTCAGATGGAGAAAAGGGGAACTTCTTGTCCTCTCGACTCTTCCCTTGACACTTTTGTCCCCACAAAATAAGGAGGGTTTGGATAGCATCTGACTAGCCTGTTGGCAATAAACAGACTGCTGCTAATCAGTTCCTTGTTTCCTTCCTGTTGTGAACTTGTAACTCTTTCTGGAGAAGTAGTCATTCAAGGAAATCGTAGCTCAGCATTGTAGCCAAGTTCTCCCTCACGCCTAAAACCGCTCTCCATTGAGGCAATGTTACCTCTCCCAGGCAAGGAGTGGCCAGTCCCATTCCCAAGGGAACTCACCTGACCTGGTTCTCCAGGAAGTGCATGTACCTATACAGCAGGGTGTAGGAAGGGGAGAGAATCCCCACGGACTTCATGCGGGCACCACGCTCTAACTCACTCTCCACAGGCATGTTGGCAAAGCAGGCCAGGCCAAAACAGAGCCCTTTCCGGAAATAACTGGGGACAAACGTTTGACAGAAGGATTAGTGTTAAAAAGAGGGAAGGGGAAGAAAGAAACGTAACTGACCACTAAAAATACTGATTCGGGAATGCAGTTCCTTCTCTAAGGAACGCCCCGAAATCCCACCCTGCTATCTGAAGGGCTGAGGGCAGGCCTCGGGTGTCCTAGCCTTCTCAGGAACAAGACAGGACATTTTAGGCAGGAGTTCCCAGTTCCCACTAAAGCCCCTACCAGCCACGTCACAGGCTGGTAAGGAACGCAAGTAAGGAAAGAACTTGGAAGGAAGACCAACAGAAGATGCAGGACCCAGTCAACGCAGTGCCCTTCTTCCAAGGAAGAAGAACCTGCAGTGCACGAAGATGCGAGTGTAGTCTAGCTACCTAGTCATATTTTGGGTGCCAACACGTTGAAGCATACTCTAGCTGAGTGCCAGGGTAAATTCACATGCCTTTGAGAAAGTAACTGTTATTCCTGACCAAAAGGAATTGTGACACTGCAATTCATTGCAAAACATTGCTGCATTGCAACACTGGGTTAGTAAAAGGATGGGAATGGAGAAAATTCCTAGCTTATGTCTTTCCACTGAAGGAAGGAGCTAGCAAAGAAGAAAGTGAGCAAGGACTGTTTATCGCAACATTTAAAGGATCCAAAAGCACTGGCAGAATTAAGAACCTTTTTCTAAGTCCACTTCCTGCAAAATCGTTCCCATTTCAGTTCTGCCATTCTTTCCCCTTCACCTTAGGCCTCTGCTGACAGTCCCAGTAGTGGCAGTGCACTATGATTTGCCCCATATGCATTAAAATTTGCACACCACTGAGAAGCTGGCCTGCCCCATTCATCAGTTGGCTTCCACAGCCAAAGTTGTGGTACAGCAGATCCCACACAGCTAGCTGGTACTTGATACGATGTTGAGAGTATCTGAAGAGTATCTTTGGCTCAGCAAGATACAGTTTAGCAGCACGTTTATGCAGGAACTTAACTTCATAGATGGTATTTTTCTTCTATGTTCTGAATTAAGGGATGGTGGTGTAGGTGTGCAGCTAAGAGAAAGAAGAAGTAATATAGCTCGGACATACTCACATGAAATCTGACTGGATTTTGTGGGACCCACTTGCCATGGATTTGAATTCCACGCCTTCCAAATCAATATCTTGGGGTAAGCACCACTCCACCATGTTGCCTGCAGAGAAGCAAATTTATTTGGGCAAACTTGAACACCGTACTCACTTCTAAAGGGCAAACACCAGCAACGGCAAGTTGTTGCTTTTACATCACTGGGATGCCAGTAACCATGCACTAACGCAGCTCCTGAACTCCTAAATCGTCACAGACAGTAGCTGACATACTATACTCCACACATCTCTTGCAAACGTTACTTGTTGCAGCACAACACCCAGATATTGCAAAACTTCTGGAGCCGTTTCTGAAGCTAGTGCTATTTTGTGGATTTGTCCTTTATATGCTTAGTCACAGAGCAGTTACAGTTTTACCTGACAGTAGATGAGTTATGGTATTAACGCTGTTCCATTCAGGCTGTCTGTGTGAGTATCCTATATAGAAAGAACCCAAAGTATAGACTGCTTCTCTTTAGGATGAGTGTCCGTGATAGCTCCTACCACCATCAATATCCTCTTTTGGCTACGCTTGGCAGGGCTGGTCAAACAGGAACCCCTGAGCCAGCATCCCAGTCATCACTACTTCTCCCTGGAATCTCTCATGTTTAGTTTAAGATAGGAGGAGTTAGCTTGAAGCTTTACATGGAGGCTGAGGTCATCCAAGTACTGCAACATGTTTGTGCGTGCTAGAATAACCAAACAAAAAAGCACATAAATTACAAGCTAGATCAAGATTAGCAAACATCTGTCACCTGCCAACCCAGCCAGAAAGCATGCAGTTGTTCACTGGAAAAGGCCACCTGAGGAGCCTGATCCTGGAACAAATTATATCAGAGAAGTCACAAAAAGTCCCTAAAGCTGATGAAGTCCTGCCCTGCCGCTGGCAAGTTTACCACGGACAGAAAGGGGGACTTCTCAGGCTTTCCCATGCCAGCACTTCAGAGCCTAACCCGCTCATCTGGACACTCCCTCTGCACCGAGACATGCTCCAGGTTTGCCCATTGAGTTCCTGTTCTCGGTCAGCCTGCCCATAGCAACAGCATTTGAAGTAATGCAACTTCATTTTAACAACAAAGCAAACAAACATTCTTCAGTACAATGCAATGGCAGATGCACCGTGAAGATGCTTTCTACTGGTACGGTCCTTCCACCGCCCTTTGGGGTAAGCATCCCAGCTGTGCTTGCACGGACAGCGTACATTTGGAAGGGCCTTGCACGCAGCTGAGACTTTTAGAGATATTTAAATATGAGGCCTCATTTCTGAAGCCTGTCTGTTGTGTCATTACTCATACTGCACAAGCATATGCATGCACTCTCGCACAGGAATTGGGCTTAGCTACTGACATTTAAATAGGCTATTTTTCTTCTCACATAGATACTGTATTCAGCAGAGCTCCCCCAACCCCGCCTGGCAAGGACTTCAAAAAACCAACAGCGTTAAGCGTGGCAACAGGAGAGGTTTTGCATCCAACTAACCACTTCTAGTCCACAAGCAGACCTCTCCCGCAGAGCCGGGCTGGCTGGGGAGCGGCGGCAGCCTCGCGACCCCCAGCACAGCTCTGTGCCATCACACGTGAAACCACAGAGCGCTGCTGTAAAGCATCTTTGCCTCTGAGGCATGTGAAAGGCTGGCAGAGAAAGCCAGTGACATCATGTCAGCCTGCGCGGTCCCCTGTAGGTTTTGCATATTATATATAGATGTTGGCTTTTGTTGTTTGGTGTTTTGTGTGTGTGTTTGGCTTTCTTTTTAAAGGCACAAGACCCTTCCTTTAAAGAGTGAGGAAGTCAACTCTTAAGACTGTTGCCTCTTAACCACAAAATTGTGTTTAAGGATGGATCCGCTTTAAGTCTTGCATTGCAGAGAATCACTTATTGGTCATTACCTATAGATTAAAAGATCAATATGCAAGAGCACCATCGAGCAAAGGAAACTGTTTGACTTTTTGTTCAGTTTAGTCACAAACACTACCGTCAGGTATAATATCCACTACAGAGGTGTTGAAGTGGACATGGCCCAAACAATGTCTGTTCTGCAGCAGTAAGTAAGGAAAAGATGCCTTGAAACAGATCCTTACCCTACGTGTAACCACAAAACCAATTTGCGTATCACACAGCTATTTTTTTTTCTGGGATCTGTCACAAGCAACCCACACCTGCGCTCCTGGCAGCTCCTCACACCACCTTGCCCTATGAATGTACAGGCGACGTGGCAGTCGGAGAACAAACGCAGAGATAAAAAAAAAAAAATTAAGAAAGTCGGTCTGGTGAAACAGTAGAGCAAACAAAGGAGAGACTTTACCCAGACGCAATAGCGACTGCCAGCCTGCCCGAGAAACCAGAGGAGGGAGGAAAGAGCAATGTTGTAGAAAAACAGGAAGCACTGCCCCTCCCCGTGCAGAAAGCAGCTCTCACGTGCACAGGAAATTTTCCAAGTGAGAGTCACCCAGCATTAGAGAGCGGGCAAGTAGTTTTGCCGAGAGTCAAATCTGCAGATCTGGAGATCTCTCGGGAGCTATGTCCCAGCTCCAGGCCAGGTCAGAACCAGCACTCTCAGTTTCTGGTGTGCAAAGTTAAGGATGTTCTTCCTCTTTCTCTTGTATTTTCTCTCCCCTGGATTTTCACATCCTTACAGAAATGATGATGGCACTAGCATTTGGTGGTCATCACCTGGCCCTCCTCACCATTAGATGTTTCCCAAGATCTTTAGGGTCCCCAGCTGTGCAATGCTACCATGTTGTGCCTGGACATGAGAAGCACGAAGTGTGACCTAGCCGTCACACTGGCTCCGTTTCCTGCATGGAAGAAATGCGGGACAGAAAAACAGGGTATTTGCATCTTCACTGGTGCAAAACGGATTACTTCCCTCTCTTCCCTCCTCGTCTCCCTCCATTACTCACATCACCCTTAAAGCCAACAGGCTGTGTGGGACCTCCGCAAGGTTGGCTGTCATCATCTTCATCACAGAAAAACGGCTAAAAAGGTTCAGCCTCTTCTTGACTATTCTGATCTGACAGAGTTGACGTGGCCGTGGACTTTGCTTCATCCTTCTTTATCTCCCTCCCAAAGCAAAATTTATTGTTCTATTTTTTTCCACTTGCTTTACCCAAACAAGTAATGAGTCTCGGAAGGCACATGTGCTCAAGCCTAACGCCAAGTAGGTCACACCTACCAGATGTATCCCCACTGCTGCCCAAGACAGTCTCGGGTCTTCTGTAGCTACCTGCCCAAGGGACCACCCGCACTAGGAAATTCAGCAGCCTCGTTAAAGCCCCTTGTGACTGTGCTCTTTAATGGGCAGCGTGTGCAAGGACCCCATGCTCACACTTTTTGAAGTGTCAAAACATTCCCAGCTGAAGGAGGGGACTGCCAAAGGGCAGGGAGCAACGAGAAGATGGCACGGTTGGCTCACGGGCTGCCACCATTCTGCACGTAATTTACAGTTCACTTTCTGTATTAGTGCAAGAGCCATCTTTGTAATAGCGGTGAGAAGAGCTCCTTCTCAAGTGCCACAAGGTTCACCATGCTGGAGGTAGGGAGAGCACCACTGATTTAGAAGCTGCCTCTGGCTCTTATGTTCAGCCACTCACACGAGCATCGACAGAGTCCCAGAGACACCGGAACCGTAACAGTGGCCTGGCAACCCCATAACCTACCTTCGTGAACTCATCACATGCAACTGCTAGATACACTGAGCTTGTCTGCTTCAAGCCCTTCTAAATTTAGGAGGAAAGCTGTTACGTTCTTTATTAGCATAGTAACCACTTCATCCTTCTACAGTAAAACATCTCTCACCCAGCTGCTCGCCTGTATTTGAGTAGACATTACCTGGCATAACTACCCTCCCAGCCACCACCAGAAATTCTGCTTTTCACATGCCCGAGCAGGCTACCAAAGGAGGTCTGCCGTGCTTTTCCTGGGCAGGATCAAGCAGGTTTCCAGCTCAGACACTGAGGGGGTGATCTCCTTTAAGTCACACACAAGGACCAGATACCCTTATAAACATTACAGAAGTCCTTCACGCCATCTGATGTGGTAGACCCAGGAATTCTCATATCCTCTTTCTGACCCTAGCAAGTTCACACCACTGCAGCTTCAAGATCTTTTTTCCGAGTCCACATCGTCCATAGGGCACTTTGCCCTCCAGCTGTGAAGCTGACGTTTGTTGAAGTGTTCCTCACAGTCCTATCGTGCTCCTTTTATTCAGCATCAGCGCTGAGTAGCAGTGGGAGGCTGAATCTTCCTGGACTTGATAGAATACTCCAAGGCTGATGACACCCAGCATTAACTGCACATCAGATGTGAGAAGAGCTGTTTCCCAACTTTCCCTGGACTTCATTCAAAGCAACAGCTGGTTCAGACAAACTCCTGAGAAAGCTCAGCTTTCTGCCAACCAAGAAAATCTCACCATTTCATAGAAGGCATATGCTCTCAGATTGAAAGACTGCTGTTGCTGCAGTCATCCGGACTCTTCCACGTTTTGGATACTTATGAGAAACACCTCCCCTTTCCATCTCCTGTTGGAAAGATGACATCCAATCTCGTTTTGGATTTTGATGAGGCAAGAGCCTCTGACCGCTAGACTGAAGACACCTCTCTTTGGTGCAGTATGAAACGGGAAACTTCTCGAAAGGCCTTTGGTGTTTCAGGACATAGCGGCCATGCTGTTTGGCAGTGTGCGTTTCTGACAGCACATCACACCTGGGGCTCTGTTCTCTTCACTACTTCCTTGGGATTTTCAGTTCAAGACCGGGATTCAGTCTTCACTATCAGGGCCCTCTTGCGAGCATGATGTCGGTTACCTCCCCCTTCCACTGAAGAACCCACCACGCTTTACAGAGCTCTTTCCTGTCTCTAGCACTTCTGCTAGGCATTTGCTAAGAAAGTGTCTGTCTACAGAGGGAAGAGGAGCTCACTCCCAGATCTGGATGCAAATGGGCTCCTGCATCTCCCAAGCGACTTCCTAAACTTTCTGATGGTACCAAGACTTTCAGCTATGCCCCACTCTTGCTTTTGCACCCCAGGTTGGCACCAGGCAGCCAAAAGACCCAACGATCTGCCTCGGGACATCAGACCCCTAAGCACAGTACCTGCCTTAACAGATGCGAGGCGGGTGCTAACTTTCTGTCTGTGTCATAACATTCCGTTTCATGGATACTGCTACAGCAGCAAGACTAACAAAACAAAGTTAACGTGTTTTCTGAAATGCTGATTTGCAGACTTGAAATGAGTAACCTC